GCGACCTATTTCTTAGCCTTCTCACCCCATTTCCTGTTTTTACCCCATGGTTTGCTAAGTTTTACTATCTGCCACTTTTGGACAAAATAAATTTTTGCCTCTTTCCCTTTGCACACAGTTTTCTTCCCCTGGCTTATGTGCCTCCCTTCTGTCTCTTCTGGTCGAAGATTATCTGTTCTTAAAGGCTCTTCTTGGAAGCCCTGCTTAATCCTTGTGAATGTTTGCATTTTTGGCAGCACTTTCTTTGTACTTATTTAAGGGTAAATAGTTATTATTCTGCCTTTTATGTTGCAACTAGATGTGTGTTTCTCTTATTGCCATATTGGAGCTTATTCATATTTATTTCCTGAATACTTAGGGTATTATTTTGAACAAAATATGTGCACAATAAGTGTTTATTGGCTTGAAAGGAATTAAAAGAAGATTGAGGTTGATTTGGGGGGCTGTTGGATGTTATCTAGAGGCATGCACTTTTTTGGGTTCTCAACCCTTTAATCTTCCTCTGTACTTTTGTTAATTCAGTCGGGTTGTTTTTGGTAGAAGTAAAAAAATAGTTGAAATTATCAATGACTTGAAGAAGGGACACCCCATCTCCTCGCTGAGACTCACAGTTTTTACTTTGAAAGATCACTGTTTTTACTTATCTATAGGCAGTTTTATTTTTCTACCCTTCTACTTTCTTTCAGAACACTGTTGAAATTTCAGCTAATTAACATAGCTTAAATGTCTTATACCTTATTTCATACATTAAAATTAACTCAAGGGAGCAAAAGTATCCCTGAAGGCTCCTGTGAGCTACTGGAGGAATGTTAAAATTCAAAGTGGTTTAGCTAATAAACGAGAAAAGAGATGGCTGTTAACATGGCTTTTTTATTCTACAATGAGAGTAGAATTTTAAAAATTGGAACTATATTGGGAAGGAACAAGGTTATAGAATATAATTGTATTACCCAAGTGTTGGCATTAAAAAAGACATTTCACAAAGCTAGCATCTGAGATGCTAAAGCAATTGTTGTACTGATACAACAAATAAAAGTTAAGTCACAACATATTCTACAGAGTTCCTATTGTGCGCTAGTGTGGCTCTATATAATGACAGTTGATGGCTAGATTAAAAGCATATCAGTTTAATTTTCAGCATCTTTAGAGCATCTAGAGAAGCACACCTGAATTAGGAAAATCTAGAAAAACCATTTTTTCCCTTAATTTTAATATATAATTATTTTTACATACCATTTAAAATATATCTGGTTTTGTGGAATGTTAAACTTGTAGAATTAATAGAGTGGGAATTTCTTCTTTATAAATTAGTTGAAACCTTTAATTTAGCACCATTTCAATGGAAGCTCCTTCCTGTAACTATGATGAAGGTGTGTCTTCGTAGCTTAGCACAGATTTACAGACTAAAGAAAATAGCAAACCCAAGCTCTTTAATGCTGCAAGCTTGTAGATTTCCTGTAAGAGAGGGATCCCTAAAGTCTGAGAAAGAGGGAAATGGGAGGGTTGTGTATCAGTGACAAAAGGTAAAGTTAGCAAGACAAAGGCTTGGACCCTACATTAGAATCATCTTCGTTGCAAGTTCCAACTAAAGTTTTTATGTTACTTATAGAAATATAACTGATTTAGTACTGAAAAAGAAAATGAGGACACAGGATTTATTTTACAGGATAACTTGAAAGCTAATTTTACTGGTTGCTGGTATTCCTTCAAGAGGTGGGAATCTTTTTCAAGTAGCATATGCACCCGCCCATCCTCCCCCTTGGTGAGAATCATCTGCTATGGTGAGTCACAGTCACTGATAGAAATAAGTTACGTCTCTTAGGTGAGTTGGGTTAAAAAAATATAGTTTCAGCTTTCCTTTTTTTCCAAAGGATTTTCAAGCCATGTTTACTTTCTGAAATAAAAGGAATGATTGAAAACATCACTTGACTTTAGTTTAATCAATATCAAATAACTGCATTGGAGTATTTTAAAAGAAGATGTAGGTACAAACAACTTATAAAAGTGAATAACTTACAAGTTGCAATTGCCTTTTTTGATGGAAGCACAGTGTTCTTATACAATGTTCTTTTCACATTTCTTACTTCTCTGGCACTTATTATAAGGAACGAAGCATTTCTGGAATGCTCATTTTAATTTCAAAGCCTAGGCTATTCTATGGAAAACATTTGGCGCATGGAGGATCTGAACAATAGAGGAGGAATGTGCAGTGGGAAGCATCATGAATTGCGGCACTTAAAATACATTCTGAGGGAATATTTCAGACAATGATACTTATTCTTCGTTTTAAACAAAGGTTTTAAACTGCGTGTTATAATTTGTCTTAATCTAGACAAATACCTTTTAACTCTCAATATATAAATTAGACTGAGAAGAGTGAGATATTTGCCTTTTGGAATTTGTGAAAACCCATCTAGTAAATCAGGTTTATTATTATTATTATATAATCCATGATGAAGACACATGATCTATTTAGCTCCTTGTAAAGCATATAGAATGTGCTTTGTTGACTGCCTTTATCACATTTAGCATGGGGAGCCCCAAGAGCAAGATAAGCATTAGGTCCAGACGGAATACCTTTGATAAGGATTCCCATAACCAATTTTCTGAACCCATGTGGGGAACAAACTAGAAAATATACATGAAATGCCAACAAATATTTGTGTCATAGTATGCATTTTACAAAATACTTTACCTCATTTGACCTTCCCCAGTCTTGTAGGATAATAATGATTGTTCTTATTTTCTAAGAGAGGAAACAAAGGCCTGCCACAAGACCTTCCACTCTGGGTGATGTACACGGAAATAAAGCAAATTAGAATGAAACAGAGGATCTGTTGAATAAGGGGAGGAGGGGATGAGGGCAGACAAAAATGATTTTCATCTACATATTTCCCACATAACTTATTAAATCTTTTTTAGTTTGTTGATGAAAACTGGGTCCAGATATCCAAGTAAACAAACATCAAATGCTCCATAAACAACCAACAAGCACAGTCTCTGGAGGCTACTAAGCAGGAAGTGTTATGTAGTTTGCTGTCAAAGATGTGGTGCATGATTATTATGAGCCTCCACTGTTTCATGACTTGCAGCAGCTTAGCTTTTAATAGGAGTTTCAGGTCTTCTATTTTAAATATTAGATACAAGTTGTTTTTTTCCTTTCTCTCATTCCTCTACGATGGTGATTTTAAAGCTTGTTAACAAAAATTTAATCCAAAACTTGTAATTGTGATCCAAGATTTTATTAAGAAATGGGTGTTTTTTAAATAATATAATTCAGTATGATGTTTTTGTTTCCAAATACAGAAGCTTAATTTTTATTTTTAAGTAATGTTCTTATTATGAGTTTGTTATTGTATTTGTTAAGATTTGTTTCTTTCTTTTTTGTTTTTGTTTTTTTTCCCCAAGCTTTATTAAGTTAAAATTGGCAAATAAAATTTGTCTATATTTATGGTATACCCTGTGATGTTTTGATATATGTATACATTGTAAAATGATTAAATCAAGCTAATTAATACATTTATCACTTCATATACTTGTGTTGAGGAGTTTGTTCAAGTTTTACTACTGGAAGAATGCTCTAGAACCTGTGTATATGTGCATTGTTTTAATTACAGAAACTTCATATAAAAATATAGAACTCTGATAAAACAGTCAAAAATGAGAGAAGTAGAAATTTATCTCCAAAATATCAAATAATTGTAAAATAAAATTTATACCACTTTTTAGCCAGCAATCTACATTAAGAGGGAGCCAAAAATAATTATAATGAAGTCAGTATTAGTTTATTTAGGCTGAGAATAGAGATAACTAATATTAGGAGAGGGAGAAACATTCTGAATCATATAAAACAGTGATTGCCTCAGAGGGCAAAGGCCAAATCCTTTCTATGACCTACTTTCTTGCCTTTTGTAACCTCTCAGAACTGTCTCCTACACTTTCCCCTAACTCATTTGGCGTCTCAAACTGGTCCTGGTCAGTCCCCTATTGAGAGGCCTTTCCTGACCACCACTGACTCCCACCCTGGCTCACTCTGTTCTCTCCCCCAACTTTGTTTTTCCCCAAAACATTTACTAAGGCTTACATTTTTTATTTGTTTATATGTTTATTGTATGCTGCCAATACTAAGAATGTAAACTCCATGAAAGCATGAAATGCATTTTTTTCCATCATCCAGAACAATGTAGAAAGTAGGTGTTCAGTAAATATTTAACACGGAAATGATTTCATGAGTGGGATAGTTGAAGAGAGGGACCATTTTAATGTGTGTATTTTGAAATTCAATTGCTATGGCTCTCACTTTTTTCCTATCTTTAGTTGGGAACTCCATGGTGGCCAATGCGCTGTTCTTGGTGCCATGACTTGACTTTTGCAGATGTGCCAACAGCACTGGAAATGAGTCATATTATTATGAAATACAATTGACTTTTGAACAACACTGGTTTGAACGGTGCAGGTCCACTTTTATTTGAGTTTTTTTTCAATAAAAGTTACACCAAGTGTGCCTGCCTCTCCTGCCTTCCCTTCCATCTCCTCCATCTTTTCTGCCTCTTACACTGCTGAGGCAGCAAGACCAACCCCTCCTCTTCTTCCTCTTCCTCAGGAATATGAATATGATGAGGATGAAGACCTTTATGATGATCCACTTCTACTTATTGAATTGTAATTATGTTTTCTCTTCCTTATGATTGTTTAAATAATACTATCTTCTCTCTAGCTTATCTTATTGTAAGAGTATAGGTATATAATACATATAGATACAAAATCTGTGTTAATTGACTATGTTATCAGGCTTCTGGTCAACGGTAGGCTATTAGTAGTTATGTTTTTGAGGAGTTGAAAGTTATACTCAGATTTTCAACTGCACAGTGGGTTGGCATCCTAATGCTTGAGATACTCAAGAGTCAACTGTACTTCCTTTCGTTCTGGGCTGTAATATCCCAGGACTGTGTTCTCCTTACAATTTGTCAATTGAGTACTTTGTATTTTTTCAATTTTAGGTTACCACTCTTGTAAACTGTCCCCAGAACCCTTCCAACAGGAAAAAAGGACGTTCAAAAAGAGCCAGTGTTCTTCTAGCTTCTGTGGAAGAAGCAACTTGGAATTTATTAGACAAGGGAGAGAAGATTGCCCAGGAAGCTGCAGTTCTAAAGGATGAGCTTACTGCTTCACTTGAGGAAGTTCGTAAAGAAAGTGAGTACTCTAGTTCTGATCAGGAGTAAACTGCATATCTTTAGGGTGTTAGTCACCAAATTAGATTTGTGAGTGTTTTGTTGTTGTTGGCTCCTGTTTTTCAATCTTTTGCAGAGCTGTGAGGAGCTAGCTGTGGGAAGCAGAGAGGCTCATTAGACAGCTCCAAGGCTCAGTCCCACTGTGGGCTCTTCTTTTTAGTGGTTTGGTCCCCCCAGGCAATTCCTCTTCCTTCCCCGCCTTGCCATAGCTTTTCCATAAAAAACAAAGAGAAGAGTACGCTTTTTTGGTCATAGAATATAGTGAGAAATGGCTAATGAAGCTGAAGATTTGTCTATACATAAATAAATTATGAAGTTCCTTGTAAACAGTTGGGAAACAGAAGTTTCAGACCTGACCACCACAGAAGTACATTTTTAACTTTGCAATTTTCTGGAGGTTTGCATTTCCTAAACTTTTTAAAAAATGCTTTGCATAAACTATGCATGAACAGAGTTGCTGCTTTGTTAATATTACATAATAAAAACATATATCTAATCTTTTTGAGATCTTTACTTATGATAATACAGCAATTTTCTAATGAATATAAGTCTCATCTGTAGGATACTTTTAAAATAATTGCTGAATATTTTTTGGTTAGTAGAATGATTTCGTATATATCAGCTTTCTGCAAGTATCTATTTTGGGAGGAAGAAGAAAGTTAAATTTTCTTGTTCAGCTTTGTAAAAGAGACTTGGGATTTTTAAAGATTTTTCTCCATCAACCCCCAACATAACTTTAAGAAAATCAAGAAGTCTTTGCTAATTAAATAATTAAAACGAATATAGCAGTCACAGTGAACTTTATGTCAAATGTATGATAGGGGATTATTTGTTATATGCTTAAAAATTTTTATATTTACATAAATTTATTTTTTAAATTAATTTTATTGTGTATATTTAAGGTATACAACATGATGTTATAGAATACACATAAATAGTAAAATGGTTACTATAATAAATTGACATAGTCATCATCTCACAGTTACCCATTTGTGTGTGTGTGTGTGTAGCAAGAGCATCTAAATCTACTCATTTAGTAAAACTCCTGAATACAACATTATTAACTATAGTCTTCATGTTGTATGTTAGATCTCTAGAGTTGTTTATTCTTCATAACTGCAACTTTGTATCTTTTGATCTGGATTGGTCCACTTCCTCACTCCTTCCCCCAGCCCCTGGTAGATATTGTGTTATTCTCTATCTCTGTCTATGTGACTTTCTTAAACAAAGATTCTATATATAAGTGATATGCAATAGTTTTCTTTCTATGTCTAGCTTATTTTACTCAGCATGATGTACTCCAGTTTCATCCATGTTTGTGGGGGTCTGTCCTGCAGACCCTGACTCAGCAATGGATGAATAATGTGCACTCAAACACAGAATACAGTGAGTGAGTGGGCTGGGGTGTCTGGGCCATTGAGAGACACTTGAGGAGAGTGCTATAAAGAGATAGCAGCTGCTGGCCCTGACATGCTGGCCTCACTGGCCTTTATTCAGCACACATTAAATGACAAAAGTCTGAGTCAACACCACTAGAGGTTAAAGATTAAAGGACAGGTTCTGAGGCCTAAAGCAAATACCATTAGTGGGTAATATCCTTTGTCGACCTCCCCCTGAGAGAACCATCTGAAATATCAAAGGTTAGTTTATAGGACCACACGGGTAAACAAGTTATTCACATAAACTCCCCTACGTTTCCTAGCTATTTGCTTTTCTTATCAACTAAAGGTAAAGGGGATAAGGCTGCATTCAGCTGAAACTTCCACTGAAACTATGCAGATTTCTCGGCCTTTCAAGAAGGTTTGTGACTATATAACTTTCTCTAATATTCTTTCCTTAATACTTTTGCCACCACCCTGACTGAACTCCTATAGTTGTGACAAATGGCAGGATCTCCTTTTTTATGTCGTATGTATAGACAAATTTCTTTATCTATTCATCTGTTGATGGATGCTTAGGTTGTTTTCATGTCTTAACTATTGTAAATAAGGGGACAGTGAATATGGGAGTGCGCATATCTTTATGAAGTGGTGATTTCCTTTACTTCAGTGTTATACCCGGAAGAGGGATTGCTAGCTCTTATGGTAGTTCAATTTCTCATTTCTTTAGGAACCTCCATAATGGCTATTTTTCACACTGTTTTCCATAATGGCTATACTTTGTTATATATAATTTATATTTTATAGATATTCTTCAGACAATATATAGAAAACATAATGCACAAGATAATTTGAAATATATTTGTTGTTTTTCCTTGCTTCTTACCAACTCAGCCTCACTCTGTCCTTCTTCTTGATCATCAGCTTCATCACCAAGTCAGTTTAGACTCTTCCTTTCATTCCACTGTTGCTTCCAATTAATGTCTAAGTTCAATGAACTTTTAAAACTTTTCTAAAATTTTTATTTTAGGTTCAGGGTACATATGATGTCATAGGGTTTGGTGTACAAATTATTTCATCAGTCAGGTTCAATGAATTTTTTCTCCTTGTGTCTCTCAGCTCTGCTCTTTTTACTCTATTCCTAACATTGCTTCATGCGTTCAGGATTATTACATTAGCCTTCCTCCATAGTAAAATCAAATGGATCTTTTAGAAATGAAAATATACTCATTTTACTTCTCTGCTTAAAATCATTTTTAGTAGCTGTTAGAGGATCAGGGGACTATCTTTTTCAATAAAGTTCAAACTTTTAAACCTACCTTCTAAAGTATTTCATGATTTGGCTTCTACCAGTATCTTGCACCTCATTTCCTGTGACTGCTCCTTTCTCAAATATCTGTCCAAACAGGAACTTGCAGTTTCTTGACTGTTCCATGTTGCTTTATACTCTGTGCATGTGTTACTAGCTACAGTTATACCTTACTTAACAATGTGGACATGTTTGAGAAATGCATCCATATGGTATTTTGTCATTGTGTGAACATCATAGTGTGTACTTACACAAACTTAGATGGTATAGGCTATAACACACCTAGGCCATATGGTATAGCCTGTTGTTCCTAGGCTACAAACCTGTACAGCATGTTACTATACTGAATGCTACAGGCAATTATTAATATAGCATAGCAGTAAGTATTTGTACATCTAAACATAGAAAAGACACAGTAAAAATATGGTATACAAATTAAAAAATGGTATACCTGTGTAGGGCACATACAATGAATGGGAGTTGCAGGACTGTAAGTGAGCCAGCGAGTGGTGAGTGCCTAGGACATTACTGAATGTCTCTGTAGACTTTATAAACAATATACACTTAGGCTACCCTAAATTTATTAAAAAATATTTTTCATTCTTCTGTAATAAGTTAGACTTAGCTTACTTCATAAACTTAAATTTTTTAAACTTTTTGTCTCTTGCAGTAATACTTAGATTAATACAAATACATTGTACAGCTGCACAAAAATATTTTCTTTTTTTATGTCCTTATTCCATAAGCTTTTTTTCTTTTCTTTTTTTTTGAGACAGAGTCTTGCTCTGTCACCAGACTGGAGTGCAGTGGCATGGTCTCAGCTCACTGCAACCTCTGCCTCCTGGGTCCCAGTGATTTTCCTGCCTCAGGCTTCCACGTAGCTAGGATTACAGGCATGCACCACTATGCCCAGCTAGTTTTTTGCATTTTTAGTAGAGACAGGGTTTCACCATCTTGGCCAGGATGGTCTCGATCTCTTGACCTCATGATCTGCCCACCTCAGCCTCCCAAAGTGGTGGGATTAGAGGCATGAGCTATTGGTCCTGGAAGCTTTTCTTCTTTTTAAAATTTTTAATTATTATTATTATTTTTTACTGTTTAAAGTTTTCTACTAAAATCTAAGACACAAATACACCCGTTAGCTTAGACCTACACAGGGTCAGGGTTATCTTTATCACTGCCTTCCATGTTCATATCTTGTCCCACTGCAAGGTCTTCAGGGACAGTAACATGCATGGGAATTTTCATCTCCTCTGATAACAGTGCCTTCTTCTGGAATACCTCCTGAAAGACCTTCTGGAGGCTGTTTTACAGTTATTATTATTAATATTTTTTTAATAAGTAGGAGTAGTCTAAAATGGCAATAAAAAGTCAGCATAAGATGTTTGTTTACATCAGTGTCACCAAAACCCATAGGCGTTGCACTGCAATGTTATTATGGCGATGATGTCACTAGGCAATAGGAGCTTTTTGACTCTACTATAATCCTATGGAACCACTATCATGTATGCATCTGTTGTTGATCAAAATGTTGTTATGCAGAATATGACCATATTCCTGTCACTTGGATTGTCTAATTCAGCCAGTTCTTACTCATGTAGCAAAGCTGAGCTCAGGTCATCTTTTCTAAGCAGTGTTTCCTGACCCCTTGACGCTGATTTAGATGACTATTTTCTGTGTCCTCACGGACTCTGAACATCTCTCATTCATGACACTGACCACCCCATACAGTAAACATTGATATGCTTGTTGAGTAAATCTTGATTGTTAGTTAATTTATTGAGTGTGGCAGGTACCAGGTGTTATTTGATTACCAATGCCTGACACATAACAGATAACTGTTAAATATTTGTTAAATAAATTAAAAAGTTGAAGTATCCTTCTGTCACTTTATATTATAAAATTTTATAATAGTCTTATCTTTGCTTTTATGGCAAGTTAACTTTCATAATTATAGTTTCTCTGTTGAGTCTTTGGTAAGGGATATGAGCCCTATTCTGATACTGTTTCTGTAGGGAAATATGATCTATTTGACAACGTAGTTTCCATAAACTGCCTGGTAATAAGTATGTAAGACATTAGTCATTCTTAGAAGGGAACAATAATTGCCATGAGATGTTATTTGCTTTTGTTTTTAAGTAAGTTAACCTTTTTAGCTCAAAAAAGGAAGTTATTTTAAAGAGAAGTTTTCAAAGAGAAGTCTGAATTCCAGGATTATGCTGTACGGGGTATATCATTCACTGTGTTCTGTTATAATGTGTGAAATACCTATAA